CAGAAATAGAGTATCCATATTTAACGAATTGAAACAAAGCGTGTCTTAAGCAGTTTGGCTTCCGTTATGGTGTGTATCGGTGGGGAGTTGGACGTACAGGGACGTTGTAGCCATGTTCCCAAGATGTCAGCCGCGGGCGCCTGTTTCACCCAGATCCAATGAGAGCCGTCTCCTAACGTTTTGCACCGAACTTTGAGTAATTGTCTGAGAATTTACTTATTCATGTAGTGGTCGGTACATGTGCTTGAAGCCTCCGGGCGTTGTGTGCCACTGACGTTGCCGCACAATCACCTCGATAATATTAAATGAAGTGCCAATTAAGATTCTCAGCGCGTCTCGAGGCACCGTGTGCTAGATATGCAACAAACCACTAGCCGAGTGAATGAAGTACTTAGCAATAGCAATGATATACATCTCTCAGATTTTAATGCATAATTTAATAATCAGATATCTTACTTAATTTAAGAGGCTTCAGACATTGAGAAAAGTTGCGACATACGTAACAGTTTAACTAGAGAGTAATAATTAAAGAAAGGAGGATAATATATGTCATATGTTGCCAACAACAAAGCCCCCCCTAGTCTCAACAAAGCCGAACAAGTCTTATAGTAATCAGCATCGTCTGCGGCGAGAGCGTGCCGTCGCCGCCGCCGCAGATAATGAAAGGCGGATAGATGAACGTTTAATATTTCCGAAACAAATTGACCAATAAAACAAAAAGTTGGCAAGTCTTGATTTCCTCGGAGCTCGAACTTGTTCAAAGTTCCAATTGTAGTAGGATTGTTTTTTAAAGTATTCTGCGAGTCCGTCCCGGGAGGCCGCGGGGCGAGCGGGGCGGGGAGGGGCCGCGCCGAGAGGAAGAAGGCGAGTGAGACGAGGCATGGAGGCGCCCGTTTCACTCAATAAAAAATCAGCACGGCGTTGGTTACGGCAACGTTTTCATTCGCTAATCTCCGGCGAGGCGCGAGGCGCGCGGCGGCTGCCGGCGACTAATCCTACGTGACGGACGGGCCTATGTTTATTTTATTCCCTTTCAAAATTTATTTAAGCCGAGGAATTCCGTTCGGACGCGAGCTAAGTTTTTAATAGAATTTGCTAAAGTTTAAATAAGTTAGTGTTATTGTTGGGCAACTGACGGCGCGCCATTACCCTGTCAATATTAGATTACTGCCTTTGAATTAATAAAGAAATCTCCTCACACACACGCACTAGACGATTGAAACAAATTCGAAAATAACCCTTTACACTTCGTTTTCAACAGGTTTTACTGACGATGGACGAGTGAGTAAGTCGAATCAAATACGCGGTTGGTGTCAAACACACCGAGCGTTAACTTGAATACGAGCTCACTTTAGATCAGAGCGTCTTTATTATAATAATAATAATAACAACGTGACACATCTCACACTCGGCCGTCTGATTTTGTGATCACTAAGCAGAGTCTGTGCTATGGTAACCAGACAGATGACAAAGATACTTGTATTACGAAAAAAAAATATCCTAAGCTTTACTACATCGATACTATACAAAATTACTGATAGAAATTGAATAATTTTTTTTACAGAGATAGATGATAGTCTTCAATAGGACATAGAGTTCAATAGTTGGTTACACATAGGTTACATGAAAATAAAATCAAATGATCGAGTTCATCGTGCAGTTATATGTCCCAAATGGGAATCGAACTAGAACTCTGTCTTAGCAGTCAGCATCACTAACCAAGGCTATAGTTATCACCTCGAAGCTCTCTTCAAGTCTTTAGCGATAACAGGCAGATTTTTGTTTAATGTTCCTTAAACAAATAATACTGGCTAACCATACAAATATTTTGAAGAGCACCATACCAAGCCAATGCCAATCACACGGTACAGTTTGCAAATGAAATTTGGTCCTGAAACTTGACTCGATTACAAATATATTTATTTCCGCAGATGTATGTATGAGTTACAGAAATGAATATGTGTAAACTTTTAATGTAGTCGCTCTGGTAGTAGATTCAGGGTAAACTCCCCTCGGTAGAAGGCCCGAGAGTCGCCCGAGTGATCCTATAAGGGTTTCGTTTTTTTTCTTTGGACGTATTGAACCCTAAAAAGTTTCGTTCCCGCGGGATATCAGAATTGTGTCAGTGTAGCCGCGGGCAAACTAGCTAGCCTTAACTAACTTAAGTTCAAATTAAATAAAAAATATGTAGCAAGAGACAAGTAGTAAGTAGGCAAAAATTGTTGTACCTTTAATTATTCATTAAAAAATAGCAAATAGTTTAATTTAATAAAAATGAGGTGCCTGATACCAATAGTTACAAATATTTAATTTCTGCTATTTAAAAATAATAAAAAATGATAATTAAAAATAACTACAACAAAATATAAAAATAGTGTCATCACACGATTATCCATATTTATATTAGAAATGTAAAAATGAGTTTGTTGGTTTGTTTGTTTATTACGCTTACACGCCACTAAACCAATTTTAAAAGTTAAAGGAGAGACAGTTTTTGTGCAATTTATATCCACACATACATATACTCGCGCTTTTATCCCCAAAGAGGTAGGCAGAATCGTATTAAACGAAAACATTTTACCGTCTCTTTTACATGATATGCAACCCTGTTACTTTAGGATTTAGATGGGAAATGACTAAAAAAGAGACTTCAATGTTAGGTAAGGGATAATGTTTGGACGAATATGGGGAGTGTAATAGATCGAACAGATCAGGGTCGATGTAAGAGCTCGGGACTTTATTCTATTTATGAAGTACAATATTTTTTTGTTTGCCCGACGTTTCAATCGACTTGTGTTTCAAACAAACTCAGCAACGTGCAAGCAACAAACAGCAACAACTTTGTGCTCTATATTTCCATTTTGTCCATATTGTCAGTACTTCAATGCCACATTTGCGATGTCTCGCTGGCCACTGATTGCATTACCTATATTCTCAGTCTGAATTTTTATATTTCTTTATTTCAACTGCTCTCTATACTATTTTGGAGTAAGTTCTCTTCAATGGCTGACTGTGAACTCATTTGTAATGTTGGCAAGTAGCTAGCATGAAAAGTTATATGGCAATAATATTCTATATTACTATTTTCTATCTTTTGATGTGAAAAACAAAGAACACACAGACAGTACTAATCTCCATTCTGAATACTAGTTTGTCCTCTTTGCGTGTGTTACAACACTGTTATAACAGTCTACGTTCATAGATAATTAAGATGAAGTTATCAGCCCCCGTCTAACGTCGTACCGCTTACCAACTAGAAGGGGTTCGCCCTCATACTCCCAAACCGCAGAACATCTAAAGAAATGCCTTTGGCAAACATCGTGGGATACGCCTGTGTTGCAAGCGTCTGTGAGACTCGAGGAATGCTCACCGAGCTTCGAGCGACACGAGGGTCGTGCGTCTATATATTTTTTTAAACCTTAAAATACAACCTCATAAATTTTATGGTATATAAAGAGATAGTTAATCATTTCCATTGCGTATTCATTTTCTTATAAGTGCCAATGTATGGATAAGTTTAAGTAAATAGTCAATTAATAGGAACAAATAAAACTAAAGTGCCAATATAATACACACATTTTGATACAAAAGTCTCGAAATTAAGGGAGATGAAACACATCTACGTATATCGCATTCGACATAATACTCGATAAAAAACGTTTACCTCCCTAAGAAAGAATAAGATCGAATAGATAAGTAACTTTGTAGATACGTTATTTGGTAGGGAAGGTTTGTTTAGGATATTCGATTTATCATAATTATTACATAAAATATTGAGTTAGTTTGTGAATGCTTCAAAAACTCAAAAAGTTCTGAACCGATTGAGCTCAAAGTCAGCCTCCCTCACTAATTTAAATGTGTATTAGCAACCTTATTTTCAAATTATCCACATTATTTTCATTCGAACGACCAAAGTATAAAATGATATCAGAAACCGGCAATTATTAAATGTTAAAGTTATCACCGGTCGTCCATTATAACGCTCGGCGCATATTACCGAAATCCGGACCCAAAAGTAAAAATAATGGATCTCAAATATATGGTTTTCATTGTACCCGCAATTACGTCACAATAGAGTTGAATTGAAAAGCACTCGAGCGGTGATAGGACAGGCCTACTCGTCCCGCGGGACTCCACTTAACCCCTCCTACCCCTCCATCCCACTTCATAAGGTCATCATTTGCTTTGCCTAACTAGTTTTCTAACTCTAATATAACAAATTACTACCACTTTTTAAGAATAAAGTAAAATAAATTAATGTGTCAGCACCTTGTTAGAGGATAAAGTGCGGCCACAAATCCTTACAATGTATTGGAGAGTGTTAAAGAAATACGTTGAATTAAATTCCAAAGCGTAGCCATTTGTTGCGGGCTACGAGCGGCCGCGAACTCGCTCTACGACACGGAGACAAGCTACGACAGGCTACGTTAGGCTACGTAAAGCACCGAGCTCCCCGAAGCTGCAAGTACTTTTACACGTAGAAAGTTTGTCATGGGCGCCGCCTTGTACACTTTATCTCAAACTTCGTCAATAAAACGTAAACATTGTAAGCATACCGAAATATTTATATATTTTACGTGATGTGTTCCTCATAGAATTATTTGTTTACACAGAAATTGAGCTTGTAGCTACAGTTTATACTAACTTGATTAGGCCTCGAATTGTACGAATTCGATAATAAATTATCTATGAACCAGGCGATTTGAATATACGAGTAGCTTCTAGTAAAATGTATTAGACCTAATAGTAAGTATACAATTCCTTATCAAAATCTATCAATAATCGTTATCGGGGCATCGGTGGCATATCAATAAATTTCCAAAATAATTATCGAAGCTCAACAAAGGAAACCCTCGTCGATTCGAATAATTTTCGTGCCCCTGACAAAAATTCCGATTCTCGTTATTCAAATACGAAACCGGAACACGATTCCGGAACTCATTCGAAGCTCGCGCCGCCACGTCGTCGAAGGCCGCTCAATCGAAAATTGAATTTCAATGTCACAACAGTGCAGATGTAAAAATCGTCGGAGGCTCGAGCGCGATCGTTGGGGCGGAGGTGCGCGCGCAGTGCGGGGCGGTGGGGCGGGGGGGTGCCGGGCGAAGGGGCGCGGGGGTGCGCGCGCCGGCCCGCGGCGCCGGCGGCAGTGTCCCGGGCGGCCCGCGTCCGCCGCACGTGTGCCGTGATGCGACCCCCCGCCCCGCGCCCCGCGACCCCGTCGACTCGCGCGTGATCGTGCTGTGACCGCAGTGAGTGCTTATGTGGACGCCTGCCCTCGGCGCGACTGTGGCGCGATGCTCGCGCGACCAGTCGCCCACTGATGCGATTTGTCGCATTCGCGGATTTCTGTACCTACAGTAAGTGTCGGCGTTGTGGCCAGTCCGACGGATGCACGCGCTGTGTGTTGATAAACTTTTGAGCTATCTCTCATAGAGCGTTTGCCTGTGAAACGTTTAAAGTGGACGGTCGCACAAAGGCTATCTGAGTTTTATCTGTGATCTCACCTCGTCCGAGCGAGCTGTCTTTATATAGACTGGAAGCCGGACCTTCTGGAGCTTTTGTCAGCTGTCGTCAGTGTTCCTAGGTACCATAGACTTTTGTGTAAAAACTAACTTTTAAAAGTTCAGTCATCAATTTAATTCACTGCGAGTTTAGGAGCGGTTATCTTAATTAATTTATAATAATAGAAATATGCGAAAATTATTTATCTTGGTAGATTTACTTAATACTATAGCATATATGTAGATACTAGCAGATGCTGCAGCGGTAATTAAATTTACCGCGCTGCACGGCGCCATACAGAGCCGCGCCGCCGCTACCCGCGTAAAACTTTATGAGCGGTTTAAAATGAACATTAGCTGCCGAGCACTTGGCACAGATAACACCGGTCTCTGAATAAAACATTCAATCTGCGAGAGGGGCCACTCTATTTGATTAACGTCGTAATTACTTATAAAACTTTACAGACGATTCGAATCCAGCGATACTTCAAATGTAAAGCCGATCGAACCATTCACAAAAATTAAATAACCGACCTTTTTAAAAGAAAGTTTGAAAATTAATATTTTCAAACTTTCTTTTAAAAAGGCCTAAGGATTTCATTTAGAATCTTTGAAAGCGGCAAAATTTGCGATATGCAAAGGAGCCGGCGAAGACACCACAAACTGGGCAAAGAGGCTTCCCTTTTTAATCCGGCGCGGTGCCTGAATAGTAAAGTTTTAATAGCGAGAGGATGAACCCGAGAAATAGTTGCAGGATGAGGCCGCCATTGAGACCGTTCCAGGCTCCGGCTACGGAATCGCTTTAGCGAGGGTTGAATGGGATTGGCCCTTTCGAGGGGACGTGATAAACTAATATGGGGACTGGAATTGGCTTCAAATAGCCCTGCGTAATGCGCAGTCCAAACCTGTAGTCGCCCCTTCAACACAATTTATCGCACCGTCAGGTAACAACAGACCACTGACCGCAACACGTAAATTAAACCTAAGACTTATAGACTGCCTTAACTTATTTAATTTACAAATTGATAAGTATGCTTAAATTGCTGAAGAAGTATGAAAACAGAGAAATCTAATTATTTGCTGAAACAAAACAGCTGTAACGAAACAAAGTTCACAAAGAACTTTTTTACAATAACGTAAACTCGTAAAGTCGAGATCAAACGGGCGCATACCGTCGCCTCGCGAATGGTAACGGCACCGGCTATAACCAAAGCACGATTACGAGACGAGACTATCATTTAAGAACAGTAGACGAAGGCGACACACACAACAAATTTTTGAGAACTGGTATTGCAAGCATAGCAAATCTTACGCAACATATTTTTAACACAAGTTAACACACTAAATTGTAGTTCACAAGTAATTTTACGCACACAATGCACGAACACACGCATTTATTACACACGCACACACTCGTGATACTGGCAATGTGGTGAATAAATAGTGAACACTTAATGCGTGCTCCCAAGTGTATAAAAGTTTAAGAGTCTTTGAGACTAATCCCATTTGGTAACGTTTTCATTAGCTACACTACACATGTACTTTAGTTAATCACTCCAAACACATTTTTGCTTTGTGAGCTTTTCATGTTCATTTACAACAATATAGTTCTTTATTTACACTCGCCTCTATTTGAAAAATACTTTTAAGCAAATCGTCGAAATATTTAAAACTAAAAGAACATGTTAACTTAATGATTTCACACTTAGTATAGTATAAAGTTTGTGTTTATCTTTAGGTTGAAATACACAAAGTAGCAGAAAATCTATTAGGTGCATAACATTCCAATAAATAATTACCACCCGAGTCTCGCTTGAAACGATCTTTGTAGGTTCGCTTACCGTGAATGTGTTCGATCCTTGTTTTATCCAAACTCATTGACGTGTTAATGAGTATGTGGCTATTAGCACTTGAGGCTTTTGTACATCGTGAATAATGTAGTGAAGCAGCGGCACAGTTAGCGACGGGACTGTCTCAATCGCACCGCTCCCCCGGGGACAGATAAGCCAATCCCGCTGCGTTACATAAACCTTCACTATTTTATGACGCGATTTAACGCCACCGAGCCTCGGGATAAAGTTATGTTTGTTATTCTCTCTATCTCGTCTTTCACGAGCCTTCGGCCTCGTCAAACTCGATATCTGCCAACTTGGGAGATCCAATTATTTATGTGTCACTGTAAGCCGTTTGGTGAGGCTGATTGTTCCTCTAATTCCGGGACATCGTGTAAATAATATTTGGTATATTTTCTATCTAATTATGATTTTCTGATTGACCTCTCACAACTACCCTAATCAGATATCCTGTAATTTGTTTTTGTAGGTATCCTGAGTACGTGAGGTATTAGTTTTGAGATATCTTTTTAGGAAATTCGTCTTTCGTCTTTCTTTCTTATAATTAGCTTGAACTTTATGCGCATGGAGCATTCATTTACTGATATATTCGTAAAACATCAAGAAAGAAGAAAACATCAGGAATTTAATGTTCTTTAATAATATTATTTTTTAATTGGGCAGCGTGTCAATAAATCTTCACTTAGCGAGTTCATTAGACGCGGACAAACATTTACTCGTAGTGAGTAGCCTCACACTTTCCGGGAGAACAAATAGCTCTGCAGATAAAAAGGGTTTAATAGTATTATCTGAAGCTTTTATTGTTTCTCTCTCTTCGTTTTAGAATAGTTTTGTTTCACATTAGAGGTTGTATCATTATTATCATTGCAATATTGTATTGCATTCTCTGGAACAGACAATAGTGCACAGAAGTTACCTGCGAATAGGCTTTGTCTCTGAACCGGTTGTTAAACTTAGTATGAAATCAAATTGTATTACTTAAATTGTTATGCTTTATAACATGTTCTAATTTAGTAATATAATTAAACTAAGTTTCACACTGACTGCACAGATAGCGTAGTGGTTTAAGCGGTCACCTCGTCACTTTCTACTGCGCTAAGCTCGATACCCACATGAGAGTGATGTCATTCACAAATTGTTGTCCTGAGTCTGGGAGTTTTTGTGTCCATTTCATGTATGTTTGTGAAGTTCTCCGCGACACAAGATTTATTCCTAGTGCGGGAGTTATCTTAAGAAAAAAAAAATACATCCCATACTGCTCCATCAATAAAACTATACTGATCATCACTTTATTTTTCTTTGAGGCTAAAATTTATATCTTGCATTGAGACTGTTGTATATAAAGTGAAATATTTAACAAGCCGTTATTTGTCTTAATAGCGATGCTAATTGGAGCGCGGCAGGACGACTTCAAAGTACCACGTTTTCGTTGAGGTGTGACAAAAGTAATCAATTTATATAATTAATTAATAATTTAGGCCATCCTTAGTTTATCAACCACCCAGCGATTGGAGATTTATTGCAGTAATGAGTATTACAACGTTATCGTACGTCAGAGTTACTATCAATTGCTTGGCTTTCTAATGGTCATACGTCCTTATCCCTTATGCAGTAAAAAGTTACGTGTAAATGAACATGAAAGAAATAGTTACAACAAAAAATGTATTTCAATATAATGGTTATTTTAACCACGTACTAATTATTTTAACCACTAATGCAATGTAAAGCTTTAAGCAATATTATAAATAAAAAGAGAATTTAAACACTTTTATCGGCAACTAACTTAATTATGTTGACGTGAATTTGGAATTAAGTTAAGACTTGTCAGTCAGTCTAAAACCACGGACAGTGCAACTTGGTCGAATCATCTAAAAAAATCAGAGGTATGTACAGTTGCTGTTCAGATAATTATACTATCATAGAACTTAAGAGTTTAAGAGCCAGTATTTTATAACCATACTTAAATTTTAATACAAAAATATTTTGAATCACTTTTTTCTCCAAATTCATAGTCAGCAAAGATTAGTTAGTTTTGTCAGAAACAATCTAACATTAAAAACTATAAATATCTTTTAATTAAGGCAGTTCTTGAATTTAGCCAACAATTTGTTGTAATATATCTGCAGATAGGGTGTACACGAAAGCTACCGAATATAATACAATACATTAACTGTAGTAAATATGAGGTCGCCGTGAAAGTGCCCCTGTATTATCATTGTCTACATTTGGAACTTCGCCCAATAGGTCATAAGGTGCCCCTATTTTGTCACTGCTACCTTTCAGCTTCTTATATTATAAAACATCTTTTATGTAAGCTCTTTTCTCTATATGTATATCTCTATAAGATATATGTAGTCTTTGTACTGAAAGTCTTTAATGAATATTGAGTTACCGTTTTATTTATTAATCAATGTTACCTTTGGCTTATTTTATGTTTGATATTAAAAACTGAATACATTGGAATGCCAATCGGCAGATGGAAGTAAAACTTTAATAATTTGACCCTACATTACTTATTTTAGAGTTATACCACTCCTACCTCTGGTCCACCAGTGTTGTTTAAGTGTTATTTACTTCTCTAGTTCAATTGACTTAAGAATTAATTGCGGTAATCTCACCATTTTCCCATATTCGATTCCTGAAATGCAAGGTTGTATATAAAAATATTAATAGGGCTAACATTACAAGGACTTAATTGCTACACAAAACAATAAAACAAACAGTAGGTCTGTTTGTTTTATTCGTTGTAGGTTTCTTTATATTGTCGCACAAATTGCGCAACACGAGTACGCCTCAGTATATTTTCACATCTCATTTCCTCACGTATATTATGTTGACTGTTATCCAATACTGGAATACGTTCTCGCTGGGCTCGTGATGGATCGTCGTCCATCGCGCGCCGAACGCCACTTTATTGGACATTAATCGTTCTCGTGTAGCTATGGTCACGCGACACCGAGATGTGGTGTCCGGTTTATATGT